CTTCAGTTGATGCAGTAGTTGAGTAGTGTGTTACTTAGTGTTTGGTGAAGTTATTTTGTGTTAAATCACACCTGTTTGGTTGTTGCTGTTTGAGATTGGTTTCTGGTGTTTAATTCTCCCTGAGCTGGTGAATATTGTTCTTGGATACTGCTACTGTTTCACTTGCTTCTGCTAACTCCTTCTTCTTTCGCTGTAATTCGAAAACCAGGTACATATCCTGAAGTTTGACACCATGTATCTTCATTTCACTGGAAATATGAATCAGGATTGAAGTGAACTATCTGTTGTGGAGTTGCAGTTTAAGTGTAATGTGATTTTGGCATTAATGATTAATATATGTCGTTCATCTGTTTCATTATAATTATATCATTTGGTTAAAACTGGTTATGCATGTCTGGTAGTCGAGTCATGTAGCTAAACAGATGCTCATTGGACTGTTAAACTCAGTGACTTCATTGTAGGTAGATTACTTGTTTAGATTGGTTTGGTACACATGTTTGATAATTGATTCTTATAGCTAGACTTGAGTTATTGGTACTGTTAAATATGGGTTGTGCAAATCCAAATATCTCCTACTATTTGTATTCAAAATTGAGCTCATAAATCATTAGTTTGGTATAGTTAAATACCAGTTTAGGTCTGGTTTTGCATGCTTTTAGTTTAGTATAGGATATTTTAAAAGGTAATCCGAGTTTCTGTGTTAGTTTGAATTCATATTTTTGCTTAAATTGAGATTAGGACTATTGAGTCCTTGGCAAAACATTAGTTGCCTAAGCAATCAAGCTGGGTGGGTATTTGGAGTTGCATCTGTTGTCCTTACCCAAGCTCGATCCTGAGCCATGTCTTCATGTGTATGTAATTGTTTGGGCCTGGCTTCTCACGCTATGGGCCCAATGTGTTGAAATATTCTAAAAAAAAGGAATGTCAGGTGGGCCATGGCCCACGTGGGGATGGGATTTGGCCTTGTGAGGGCTCGATCTCAGGCTGTCAAATGGATTGCTCTCGTGAGTTTAGGCTTCCTAGGGGATTCGATCCCAGGTGCAGTCATCTGTCACCTGGTCTTCCTTCACTCTTACCGGCCATAGTATTGGGCCGTTTCTGAAGTCCATCAATGGTCCAAATCGTTGTTGAGTTTGGACTACTGAATTTCAGTGCATAATTTCACTGGATAGTTCAGTTTTCACGTAATTAGTTTTCTTTCTTCTTTTAGAGACAATTGATCAATAGAAAATTGTAGTGACTCTTAAGTGGGCCTTTTAATAAAATGTTGAGACGAGCCTCGCCAAACAAAATCATATATGCAGGGCCCTCAATAATGGTTACATAAAATTACTTAGAATTTGGGAGGGCCGTTTAGCAAATTTCATGGCCTTCCCCAAAATAATATAACGTTAGAATCTTTAAACGCGATTTAATTAAATTACTTTCTTAAACTTGGGTGCACATTGATGCGACCCAAATCCAAATCTCGACGAAGTTGAAATGTGTCGACAACCACGGGTGCATTGATTGTGACGCAGTTTGAAACGCATTTTCACGACGTCACAAGTCTTTTAAAATAAATAATGATAAAAGCGGCGTAAAATTAATAAAAGGCACATAGGTTAGCATGTATTGAAATCAGATAAAATCAAATACAACAGTTAAGCGACCGTGCTAGAACCACGGAGCTCGGCAATGCCTAACACCTTCTCCCGAGTTAACAGAATTCCTTAAAAATTTCCACTACTCAACTTTCGGAATCGCATTCCGACCCCGATATCAAAATTTCCACTTTCGGTCGAATTTTCTCAAAAACCTTCAAATTTCTATATTTAGCCAAACGGCTCCAAAATGACCTACGGACCTCTGAATTCACTTCCGATCGCGCTCGCAAATCCAGAATCACCATACGGAGCTACTCTCAGTCTCGGAATTCCAAACGGACATCCATAACACTGAAATGCATTTTAAGCCAAACTGATGCAATTTCTTCTAAAATGCTATCTTCCACAATAGGCGTCAAAACGCTCCCAGGTTATCCAAAACCCGACCCGGGCATACGCCCAAGTCCAAAATCATCATACGAACCTGCTGGAACCTTCAGATCCCAATTCCGAGGTCGTTTACTCAAAATTCCAATCCTAGTTCATTTCTTCAATTTTAAGCTTTCAAAATGAGAATTTCCATTTAGATTTGACTCCAAACTTCCTGAATTTTAATTCTGACCATACACACAAGTCAATATACCTGAGATGAAGCTGTTTATGGCCTCAAACTGCTGAATGGCGCGCCGAAGCTCAAAACAACCGATCGGATCGTTACAACATGTGTAGTAGAGGAGAAACATACGAGATAAACAAAGACAAACATTCATAAAGAAAAGAGAAGAAAGAATCAGAAAATTTTCCAGAAACCTAATTTGAAAATCAATCGATTTAAACAAAGAAAATTGGGGAAAACCCTTAAAACATTTGAAAATAGCACGGATTTATCACATAACTAAGCAAATAAAGAATAAGGAACCTCAAATGACTTTTAGGGTTTCTCAGAAACCCTAGAAGTGAGAAGGCTTGGAAGAGGTCTGGTCTCAAACAAGTCTGAGCCATATCTAGGCTCTTAAAACTCGAACACGTCGGAATAGAGCCGGAGAGACCACAGGAGCGCAGATCGGCGGAGGATCTTCTCTAACACCATCGAGGTCGAACCTCAAAGTATCGAACAAACGGGCTTAGGAGTGAAGGAGGGTGAGCACAGGATGTCCATGGCCTGAGAAGCCATGGACTCCGGTGAGATTGGTCGGGGAAGGCGAGGGAGACGACTAGGTTTTTTTTTGAGTGAGTGAGAGTGCTTGAAAGAGAAGGGAGTTCAAAGGCAGTGGTCTAAGTGAAATGAGGATTAGGGTTGGGGGGTTGGTAGAATTAAAAAGGAAAGAGGGGATGAGGGTCGTTGATCATTTTGATCAACGGCCATGATCTAAAGATACAAAACGGACGGGTTTAGTAATTGGGTCAGGGGTCGGGTCCAAATCCCAATTGGATCGTTGATTTGAGGTGTAATTGGATTGAAATTGGGGCTAAAATTGAAAGGAATTGTGGTTATAATTGAAATGAATTGGGTTGCAATTGAAATAACCAGTTTTTCCTCTTTCATTTTATAAAAATAGTAAAAGTATTTTAAAAGCAAATTAAAAGCACCGAGTCAATAAATAATATGTAAACATTAATTTAAAAATATTGTGGTCAATTTATATTTATAAAAATGCTATTAAATCTTAAAAAGGCTGGTATTGCAGTTACATGCAATTTAGTTTTAAAATACCAAACAAAATTGTAAAAATATGAAAAAAAATCATGTCAACTATATTTTGATGTAAATGTGAGAATAAAATAAATTATTCTCCAAAATGGCAAGTTTTGGGAATAATTATTGGATTTTATGGTGTAAAAATAGATCATAAATTGGTTTAAAAATCCTTAAAAAATGTCAAAACCTTTTGAGGTGCTTATATATGCACATATATGATATTTTAAAAGTAATTTTGGTATAAAAATAAATAGGAAAAATTGGGTATCAACAGCGAGCCTGCTTGACAATTCGGGCTTGTGTAGGACACTTCTCAATGGGAAGGTCGTTACTTCTTTTACGGGGTGGCATTGAAAATAGGGCAAGAGCTTTCGTGAAGCTACGACCAATGTTAAAGCTAATTTCTCAAGATGTGGATACCGTGTTTTGGCGTCCACTAAGGTTTTGCTAATGTAATAAATAGGAGATTGCGTACCTTCGTTTTCGTGAACCAAGATCGCGCTGACGGCAACCTCGGATACGGCTAGATACACCAGCAAGGGTTCGCTTGGGCTTGCTTTGACCAGCAGTGGTGGCGAAGATAGGTATGCTTTTAATTTTCTCAAGGCCTAGACGCATTCCTCGTTCCACTGTAACCCGTGGTCTTTTCTTAACACGTTGAAAAATTTATGGCACCTGTCGAAGGATCGTGAGATGAACCTGGATAGGGCGGCTATTCGCCCCGTCAGCTTTTGTACTTGTTTTTTGCTGTTCAAAATCTCAGGTATTGCGTATATCGCCTTGATCTGATCTGGGTTGACCTCGATGCCTCGTTGTGATACGAGAAATCCTAAGAATTTTCCTGAGGCTAAGCCGAAGGCGTATTTTTTGGGGTTCAGCTTCATCCCCTACCTTCTCAATATCTCGAAGGCTTCCTTCAGATGGTCGATGTGGTCTTCTTTCTTTGTCGACTTCACCAGCATATCATCGATATAGACTTCCATGGTCTTACCGAGTTGCTCTTTGAACATTTTAGTGACCAGTATTTGGTACGTAGCCCCTGCATTTTTGAGCCCGAAGGGGATTACCTTGTAGAAATATGTACCTTGGTGGGTGATGAAAGTCGCCTTCTCCTAGTCCTCTTCGGCCATCATGATTTGATTGTAGCCGGAGTAGGCATCTAAAAATCTCAACAGATGTCATGCGGTGGCGTCGATCAGTTGGTCGATGTGGGGCAGCGGGAATGAATCTTTTGGGCATGCCTTGTTCAGGTCGGTGAAGTCCGCGCACATTCTCCACTTCCCATTTTTCTTTTTGACCATGACGACATTGGCGACCCATTGGGGGTACTTCGATTCTCTGATGGAGCTGTTGGCCAGTAACTTGTCTACTTCCTCACTGACCACTTTATTGATAGCGGCATTGAATTTCCTTCTCATGTGCCGCACGGGCGGATGTAATGGATCGATATTCAGCTTGTGGGTGGCGATATCTCGCGGGATTCTCGGCATATCGGAATGGGAAAAAGAAAATAAATCCACATGGTTAGTTAAGAATTCACGATACTTACTTGGGTTGGTGAGGCCGTTCCCGATGTAGGCTTTCTTCGTAAGGTCGGTGTCGATCAATTGGACTGGGTCGAGATCTTCTACCGTCGCTTTACAGGCCTCCACAACGTCGGGGTCTCTAATGGCATCCGTTGTTGGGTTAACCTTAGTGCCCGACATAGCTGATTGCTATGCCTCTGCACTCGCCCCCTTTAGTTGTTTGGTGTGGGCGCAATCTTGAGCTATTTTGTAGCATTCCTGTGCGGTGCACGGCTCGTCTCGAATGCTGAATACTCCCCACGGGGTAGGGAATTTGATCACTTGGTAAAAGCTTGAAGGGACCGCTTGCATGGCGTGTATCCATGGGCGTCTTATGATGGCGTTGTACACCGTTTCCTGGTTCATTACGTGGAAAGTTGTTTCTAGCGTGACTCCTTCTACTAAAACGGGTAATGATATTTCTCCAGAGGTCCGTTCCACTGCATTATTAAAACCAGTTGGTGTTATGCAACGCGGTATTATCTTGTCCTCGAGTCTCCATCGTATGAGGACCCTCAAATGGATAATACATGCGCCACTTCCATTGTCAACCATGATCCTTTTAGCATCCGTATCGGCGATACGTAAAGTGATAACTAATGCATCGTAATGAGGGAAAGACAAACCGTCGGCATCGGACTTATCGAAGGTGATACTATCTTCGAAGTCGTCATACCGTTCATGGGCGATGGTTTGCTTCAGTTTGTGCGTGGTGGTGAACTTGACGTGATTGATTGTTGAGTCGTCGCCGCCTCTGATGATCATGTTTATCGTACGTGCTGGGGAGGGTGGCTTCGGCGGCCCATGGGGTTGTTCCCATCCGCATGCAAAGTTACTTTTCCTTTTGTCATTGAGTAGTTCCCTTAGGTATCCCTGGTTCAGCATCTTGACTATCTCTTGCCGTAGGCCTATGCAGTCCTCGGTTTTGTATCCTCGTTCCTGGTGGAACTCACATAGGATGTTTGATTTCCTTATGGTAGGGTCTGATTTCATCTTTTGCGGCCACTGCACCTTGGTGCCCAGCTTCTCCAGTGCGTACACTATTAGTGAAGGAGACACACAAAAGTTATGGGCGGATAATAAATGGGGCATACCTCTTTCGTTTCGGAGTGGGGCGACATGTCTCTATAGTGCGTTCGTGTGACTTGGTGGTGGAGGATGGGAGGATCGGATGTAGGGATGGTGCCTTTCTCTGTTGAGATGTGGGACTTGCTCCCGCCGCCCCTCGTTGCATCGGTCCTTCCTAGTGTATCGTCGTTAACCATTGGATCGGCCCGTTGAGGTCATCCTCGTCTGCTTGTACCCCAGCACAGTAGGCGTTATGGATTTCGTCCCATGTGGTAGGGGGATACTTCATGAGGCGGCTTAGTAACTTTTTAGTCGCCCTCGAACCACTCTCTATTCAGCCCATTCTGGAAAGCGGCGACCGACATGCCTTCCGACACGTTTGGTAGGCTCATCCTTACCCTGTTAAACCTGGCTAGGAAATCCCTGAGTCCCTCTATTGCGGTTTACCTGATGGCGAAGATATCGTTTACCCTTGCTTCCGCTTTCTTTGCTCCTGTATAGGCGGTGACGAGCTTATCCGCCATTTCTTCAAACGTGGATATCGTCTTAGCTGGTAGTTGGGAGTACCACATTAGGGCCCCTCCTGTTAACGTCTCACCAAACTTCTTCAGCAGCACGGATGGTACCTGTTCCTTTGATAGGTCGTTGCCCTTCACAGCAGTGACATAGTAGATCAGATGATCCTCGGGATCTATGGATCCGTCATATACCCTTAAGTAGGGTGGCATTTTGAAGGTTTTTGGGATAGAGTGAGGGGCAATTTCCTCGGTGTACAGTTGCTCAACGAACCTTCCCACGTCGCATTTTGGTAGCAACTTGGGAGCACCGGGGATCTTGTCTACCCTCTCCTGATGTTCTTTCATTTGGTCACGGAGTGCCTTGTTTTCATTCTCCATTTCTTCCATCTTCTTCAGGATGGCTGCGAGTGTGCCGTTGTTGGTCAGTGCCTCGATGGGCGTGTTATTTGCTCATACAACCTCAGGTTCACCTATGGCAGCAGTGAGGCCTACCGTCGGTGTGCACTTGATGTTACTTTGTGGTGACTTCTCGACAAAGCCACTTAGAGTACTTGTCAGCCACTCTTCCAGTAGCTGCTTGACTACCGGGGGTATTTCCTTAGCCACAGATGTTGAAGCTTTTTTTTCCATGTAAGATCGTCAGATCCTCAGATAAGGAGGGTGAGGTTCCTCCATCGGCTACGATACCGGGTGTTGTGTTCAAAATACCGTCTTCACCAGCCTCGTTGAAAGGACCTATGAGATTAGTTGTAAAATCCAATATTGCTTTCATTCTTGTGTTATTTTCGGCCATCTTTTGTTTTTGCGCGGTGTAGAGAATGGTAGTTGGTTGTCCTCTAGGTGCAAACTATGATTTTGATTCTCGAAATCCTCACAGACAGCGCCAAATTGTTTGGCTCAAAAGTTATCAATATACTTTGTAAGCTTAAACACAATCAAAAGTAAATGAAGGTAAATCGTAATCAAATATAATAAGATCTAAAGATGAATAAATGACGTTGTTATAGTAGATCTGAAAGATAAAAAGATAGTATAAGATAAAAGGATAAAAAGATGGCATTAGAGACGCAGGTGTTACTTCTCCGGAAGTGTTAGATTGAGGTGAAAAACCATAATAGGTAAAACGAAAGGGGGGTTTCAGTCACTTATTTCCCAGTACAAGTGAGAACATGAAATAAGTTGATAACTTAAATGAATACATTTAGGAACCAAAAGTTTGCAAGTGATAAATAGTACTTGAGGTCCTTACATGATCTCCGAAAAAAAAAGTTTCTTGCATACATAAGCAAATATTAAATAAGTGATTTTAGAGAGATCAAACTTTCTGTATAAGCAATTCCATCATGAACTTTGAAATGCTCGGGCCAGAATCCAACTGGACCTGTGGACGTCCTAAGTGCAGTATGTCCAAATGTAGCCATACGGTCGGTCCAAGGTGAATTTGCTAAAATCTCAAATAAATATAGTAGCACTTCACCATTTGCAAATCTATGTTTAAATTTAGCATATACAATATTGTTGAGTCGTATCGTAAACAATACAGTCCAAGATTCTTTGACTCCATAGTCTTTCATTACCCACAACTTAAAAGTGCCCCATCCTTGATGTTTATGAGTAGAAGAAACGCAAACCATTCCTTCCATTACTGAAAGACCATAATTAGACAACACATCTTCATTAGTTATGTGAATTTGCTCTAGCAAAGGTATCTCCGTTCACCTCATTTTAAAAACCAAATAAAACCAAATGACAAATTCTTGATATTGTCTTACCAAGCCAATGAAATGCTCCATGAACAAATACCATAGTATCTATATACCAATTGTCATTTCGGTAAGGAAAAATCGTAAGTTTCTGTCCCCAGCTAGGGCAAATGGCAATGGTAGTTGGATAGGAATAAATCTTTCTCCAAGAACCACTTTTTAGCGAGAGAATTTCTACGGAATGTAATATTTGACACGTGGTCCACTTAAGGATCTTGTACCCATCACCCGTCGCGTTATATCCCAATCCGAACATAGTATACAGACGTCTAAATTCTGAATGGGGAAGAAGTGTCGACTCTCTTGTTGAAGGGTTCCATAGAAAAAGTTGTTGATCAAATTTACCAAAAAATTCGAGAACATCCAACCCATTGAAACAACAAAATAACTGGCACTCAAATGGTTTGAAGGTTGAAAGGCAATCGAGTTCTTGTACACACTTTGATTGATAATCGAGTTGTTGTACATTCGATAAAGGAGAAAAATAGAAACTAAATTTGATGGTGGGTTTCATATCAACACTACCAAACCATGACTGGAAAATAAGAAATTTGTGGTTATTCTTGGCATGATTGAGATGCTTCAACTTAAAGTAAGGATCAGATATTAATGCCTGCCAAGAGTTGGAAACATATTTGAGCTGAAGAAGAGACCGTACGGGTAACCTCATGAGGATTTCCATAATTATATCGTCTTGGAATTGAATTCATACTGATTCTTTCTTCTGTTGTTGTTGTTGGCATCTAAGAAGATTTGCCATTATTGTCATTGTCACACCTCCTTTTTACACACTTATCCCGAAAGATAGTGTATAAGGGAGTTTTTCCAATTTAAGTGACATTATTCGAATTTTGGATTATTTATTTATTCAGAGTCTCCACTTGGGATGGGTTTGGCTTTTGGTGTCTCAAGTCACTGGTTTTTTCTTGAATCCCAAATCGAGGAAATTTTCGATTTTCCGAATGAAGTCTGCGAACCAGAAATTCTGACTAAAGAATTCTGATGACACGAGGGAAGGTGTTAGGCACTTTCGGATCCCGTGGTTCTAACACGGTCGCTTAAACTGTTATAAATGGCTAAATATCTGATTTTAATACATGTTTCAATCTATAGTGCAATTTTACATTACTTACCGCTTTAAATTAATTTTTAGGAATTTGGAAACATTATTAAAACACGTCTCGAACCACGTCACATAAATGCACCCGTAGTTTTTGACATATTTTAATACCATTGAGATTTGGATTTGGGTTACATAAATGCACACCCAAATTTAGGAAGGTTAAATTATTAAAGAACACGCCTAAAGCAACTAACGTGTTATTAACTTTGCGGAAGGCCATGAAAATTCGCTAAATGGCATGTCCCGATTTCTAAAGATCAATACAAGACTAATTAAAACGAGGGCCATGCAATTGTCATTTTGTTCGGCACAGCACACCTCCATTTATTCCAAAGGGTTTTATTAACAAAATCAAGTGTCACGGCAATGAGCACATTTGACAACGACAATTAGTTACACTTACTAAATAGCTTCTATCCGCCACCACATACAATTATCACATGCCACCTAATTTTGACCAACCAAACACCAAAAATATCATAGAAAATATTTCCTAAACTAAAATATGAATACATTTTTCCACATAGCTAACTCACAGGATCTGGACAAAGGGAAACATGGAGGAACATTATACTAATTCAAATTAAGTGAAGCTCCCAATCAACAATAATTAAAATTTGCATCATAGTTTACCAAATCTAACGACAGACATGTGTTTCTAGTGAATCCAAGCCCCAAAACATTAACACACAATTTTAGTAGTAGGCTATTTCCAAATCAGTTCTCCAATATATACACTGTTAACAACGGAAAGTCAAATAACTAGAGCAATTGTACTATGCAAGCTAAACACACAATTAATCATTACTCTAAGAACAAAACCCAAACAAAATGCAACTTAACAAAATCTCAATATTTATCAACATTGCCTCAATTGAACGAACAAATTGATCCTAAATGAATAGATAAGCAACGACTAAAATGTTAAACATTAACACAAGAAATGACTAAATCATGATTTATCTATGTCGAGCAAAAGTATGGAGCATAAAGATGATTTCAAACAATTTATTGCACCGAGAAAAGGAACGGTCCTCAAAACAAAGCCATTTTCGAATCTGAGAATATTTAACACTGGAACCTTAGACAGGGGCAAACTCGACGGAACCGCAAATATGCCGGGAGACCTCAGATTACGACCTTCGACGAACTCGGAGCTCGCCAAAAAACTCGAATTAAACCAAAACTCGCCGGAAAATAGCTGTGGTTATGTTGCGATGCAGCTGATTTGAAGCTGTGTTTGGGTTGGATGGAGGATTTGCACGAGAAGGTGTGGCTCGCCGGGTTTGAAAGGAAGTGGATATGGTTTTCCCAAATGGCAAAAGCAAAAGAAAGCTCCTAAATTAACATGGTCAATCTGGACGATGAGCTCAAATTCGTAAGTCACGATCTCTTTTTGGGGTCACTCTTAAGGGAATTTAGGATTTTGGGGTTTTTGAAGATTGCAAGTGAACGATCCTTCAAAAATGGAGTCAGCAGTGTTCTTTTTAGTCTTCCCCTTTGTATTTTTTTTTTGTTTTT